TCAATTTAATTGTATTGTAAGAGCTTAAGTAATTCCTTCTGAATAATAAAAAAAAAAGAAATAAGGGTGACAGAGTGTTAGGAAAGTCGCTTGTTCCGCACGTTAAGTATATATTTGTTTAATTCCAGCAAATAATGGTTTGTAACATCTTATGCATAAGCCATCTCAAAATTAATAGGTCCAAATTTGAGTTTTTTACTTTTCAAGCAATGTCGAGAAAGAAGCGTTGGGACGATCCATTCTGCCTGAGTTCATCAGAGGTAGAACGTGGAAGCAGCCATCTATAATAACATTGAAAAAAGTTTAGAAAATTTATTCGAACATTGTTTGATTAAGTCAGAACAACCGACCCTCCCGAGGTCCGTGAACTCCTCTATCAATAAATTGTACTGCTCTCCTCTTAAAAAAAAAATAATACGTTAAAATAGAAAAATCATAAATGACACACTTGCTGTTATTTGGTCCATAATTTCCCTTGTTATCTGGTTTGAATATTTTCACTTCTAAAGTTGATAACCACGTTCAAATGTGCCCCCTCAAAAATTCAAAACCCAGTCCAAACTGAGGGCCCCCTTAAAAGTTTTGTGGCGAAACTTGAAACCCCCTTCTGGGTGCCCCTGGATTAAGTTAAGTTAGTTCAGAAAAAAAAATGTTCTTACTAATTTTTTTTCTTCCTGTTACTTTTTTATGTATTTTTTCTTTTTATTATTTATTGATTGTATTAATTAAGTATTTCTTTCCTCTTTTTATTACTCTTCTAATGCATTTTTTTATATAAGCCTGTTCTAAGATTCTATATGGTATGGATGTATTCTTAAAGCCATAATACCTATTGTCCTATAAACAGATAAAAAAGCAGAGAAAATAGATAAAATATAGAATGAGAATATTAGTAAAAACACGTTTTTATTGAAAAAATGAAAACTACACTATGATGTAAAAACGTTTGATGACGCTTAGAAAACAACATAAAACGTTTACAGGGATAAAGTTAAACGATTTTAAAAATAAACAAATAGATGAAAACTCGCTGTTTAAATCTTTCCTATACGTCTATTCTTTATTTTTTTCCGAAGATTTTTATAAAATATATACTCTCCTACAAATATTGGTCAAATAAATTTATTTATTTATAAATGTCTTTAAATTGAAAAAATATCAAATTATAATACATTATCGATTATCGTATTTTTTCACGATTTAAGTCATTAACTAACGAGGCACCCTTCTGCAATGTCGTGTGTTGTCGAGAACGTATGAATTGAGAGCCGTATTGCCAGTAACCAGTTCCTCTACACAAGATCTGATCCTCTGGAATTCCAGCTCGCCATCAATGGCTTTATCTTGTTCTGTAGTCGTTGTGGGTAAATAACGAGGCAGCTTATTCGCACTTCGTTATGAGTGGAGGGGAGGATGATTGGGTAAGAACCCCCTCCGCCCAGGCGGGATGATATTCGTATGTTTTGGATACGCATGTAAAGTGGGTTAATGTTGGCCTAACTATATATGTATATTTATATATACATAGTTGGCTGCGCCCCATAATGGGATTCAGCGGATTGCTCAATTTCGCTTTAAATATCCTTAAAACATTGAACGTATACTTTGGAACAAAAAATATTACAGGGTCGTCAGGTGTTTTTATTGGTCCAACAAAAGGGAGTCAAATCGATACATGAAATCAATGAACTACCTCCGTGATGAGAGATGGCGCTGGAGATTGTACCAATCGATTCCACGGCAAAAAATACATAGAAAATTGCATCTTTGGACTAACCCATCTGTTTATGGTTCAATTGACCCATCTGTGTGCAACTCAAGTGGGGCACCGTAGAATTTAGATTTTGGAATGTTGCGTCAATTGAGACTACTCCTAGTTAACTACTCCCACTATCAAACCATACCAAGCTAGATGATTTTCAAAATAGAAAAGTAGACTAAAGAAGTTCCCAGTTCCGATATTTTCCAATATTTATTCATTGAACTAATGTCCCAATAAATAAAGCCCTTACACATAATAAATTATAAAATCTGTTTATACTTATTAAACATTAAACCCTCTCCTGAAATTCTCACATTTCCCCACAATCGATTTTCCTTCCCAAGTTATTCCATCGCTTTCGCCGTCTCCTTCCCGAACCTAGACATAGACTCTAAGTTTCTTCCCTCATCTTCCCCCACTTTGACTACGATTGCGTGCTGTCCGGTGGTCTCTCGATGGATCTCGGTGGAAGACTGAAGAGACTTATGAATAGCTTCATCAGATTTGTCGATGGGACCTCGGACGTTCTCGTTTCTCCCACCACTAAGCCGAGTTAGGGTAGCTCTTCCTCTCCTCCCGAAGACAATCCTTTATCACAAGATCTCGACCTTCTAACAATAAAAATATAAACAATTACAAAAAATCCCATTTTGTATCATCACAACTCAATTGTAAACTAATTTGTAAGCATGTTATTTCATGATAACAAATATATTTCAAATATATATCAAATATATCAGTCATGAAAAACATGGAAGCAAAAAAAAGATAAAAAATAACATTATAATATTATATATATATATATATATATATATATTATATATATATATATATATATAATATATATATATATATATATATATATATAAGGCTTCCCAACTCTCGAATAATTAATGAAAGAAAAACACTGTTTTTTCTTCAATACTTCTAAATACAATGACAATGCATATAGTAATAATCCGTATTTTATATTTTTTTATTACAATATAACTTTTAAAATATAAAATGTTGAAATTAATTTCTTACAAAAAATTTGAAAGGAATGAGTCAAAACGGCAATAAATCTGTCTAAATTTGAAATGTTAATCATGCTAAACATTGCACTGAAACAAATGTTAAGGACTTGCAGACTATACTCTGAAAATACAACAAAACATAATATACCTTCCACTATTACTGAAGAACTTGCAGATGATGAGGATAAAATTCAAAATGTAATCAAATCCATGAAAACCATAACAAATGTTCACTTAATTTAACAATATCATTCACGATTTCAAAAAATGTATCATGTACATAACCGATCAACTCTGTATTCTATATTATAAATGTTTTAATCGTTGATTGTGCCGCTGATGACTCTCTTGGATAGATAAGGAATGTTATAAAATAAAAAAAACTAACGTGTGTGCTTTAGACCACAAAATAGAAGTGAAAAATCAATATGGCGAGATGCGTAATATGGAATATAAATTATAAACAATAGCTCATTATAAAGAGGATGAAATGCTGAACATTTCCCTGGGTTACAGTATGCAGGTCCAATTTTTATTTTCTGAGATATTTTAATCTATATCTTCAATAAAATTCGTCATAATTTGGTTTTCGACACAATTTTTTCTTTTTGGAACACGGCGTCGCGTTAAGATACAATTTTTAATAGTATCCCATTACAAAGAAGATGAAATGTTAAATATTTCCCTTGCTATAAAAATGAAAATCCGATTTTTAATTTTTGAGATATCTTAATCCATGCGCAAATACACTTCTATTAGTCAACTCCACACGAGCGTTACACATCGGAGATCTGACGGCTCAATCTAATTCACTTTCCACAAAAAAAGTGCAAATTGCGCCTAAAGAAGTTTTCACTTCAACAAATAAATAAATAATATTTTTTTAAGTGGCAATAAAGCTTTACGTAGTTCCAAGATTTCAAATTTTATTTTCACACATTTCTGAACAATTATTAAAAAAATTTCTTCGTCGTTAATAATAATTTTACCGTCAATGTGCCATTCAAAAAAACACAGATAAATGCGCCTTCAAGGGCAAGCAATACCATTCCGCATTATGTCCGCAGTTATTGTCTTGTTTCAGTTTTATCTAACCTTCACATATTACTAACGAACGAGCGCATTTTTTTGGTATTAATTACTTTTATTAATTTACCATTAGTTTAAGTAAAATCTTAGAAACACACATCAAGAGAAATCAAAAGCTACTTAGTTGTAAAAAATATATTGGCAAAGAAGATATTAAAAGTAAAACGCAGAATAATTTCGAGTGATATTTGCTAAAATTACTTCGTGGCGGAGATATTGTAGCTATACATTATGTATATTATATTATACTCATATATGTAATAGTTACAAAAAAATTATAAAGGATAAGAAACAAATAAAATAAAAACCTCAATGAATGACCAACAGTTGGAAATAAACCAGCATATATCAAGTGCAAATGGAGCTTTCTTCTCTCTTTCAAAGAAAAAATCCAATGCGAGATCTGGACACTAAGAAGAAGTAGAAAGAAATACTGAAAGATGGGGAGAAAAATCCTCAGCATAATAAGCGGAGCGATATGAAGACAAAGAGGTTAAAGCAAGAGACGAGGTGGAAGGCCAAAAAGCAGATGGGTAGATCGAATCAACAAAGATGCAATGAGCTGCCCAGAAATAACTGAAAAGAAATAGCGCAAGATATTAAGAGATTATAAAAGGCTGGTTAAGGCGGTAAATGATCTATAAGGTGCCACAATGCCAATAGAAAAAAAGAATCTCCAAAATTCCATAATTAAATATATTTTCCCAAAAGTTCCAAAAAGTTTTCAGTCTAAAAGCAAATTCAAAATGGACAACAAAATAAAAGTGTAAGCTTTAAGAATTTTTTAACTGTGGTTTTGAACTCTCCATTAAGTTTGGAATAACTAGTAGGAAATGTGTAAAAATAAAGAATTTCGAGCAACATAATCTGGATGATTTCAAATGGATTGACCCGGCTATAAACTGTGGAGTGGTGTTCCTTTCGGCAGGACTGAACCATCTGCTCAATCGATAATTCTATAAAGATATTTGTAGTTTTATTTCGTTTTTGAAATGTCCAAACGCGTATTACAAAGTGGCTCATCACTAACAAGCGGCGAGTACAGAAGGCCCGGCCCGAAGATGGACGGACATTACTAACGATGGCCAGCGGATGAGAGAGAAAGGTACCGCGAAGTAACCGACAATGAGACAATGCCGAGACAGAACGGGGGGGAAGGGGCTGCCTCTCTCCCCACTGCCTCCTATATAAGGCTCCTCGGGGGCCTTCCAAGGCACAGTCTCATCTGTCCCTCAAGGATTATACCATCCATCATCATGAAGGCATTCCTCGTGGTGAGTAGTCCACATCTTCGGGATACGGTTGGTCATCCTATCTTCCAGTGTGTGCTTTCATGTAAACAGTTCATCTAAAGGCGGTTGATTGAACAGTACGGGTAAAGATCACGATTGGTGCTCAATGTTCGGTGGATCAATTGTACCAAATTTGAAACCATCCAACGTTTTGTTCATTAGTGTCACGTGGCATACCGACCATTCCGAAATCATATTTTTATGTATCACTAGCGCTTTTCGTCTAGTAGTTTAATGTGCTAATTATCAAACACATACATCAGAATCAAACTGATCGGTTAACAATATATGTTGTGTCCCTAATATCATGATCTTTCGAAAACAACCTTATTCTATCCAAGCTCTAATGATGAAATTAAGTTCAAATAATTTAAATTATTCAATTGGCGTTAGTACGATAACATCCAATGTGTGATAAGTGATTCACAAATCTAATAATTTCAACCGACATCATCGTACATATAAAATATCAACATTTGCTAAAGATGATTTGGGAAATATTTTGTGTGGAATTTAAAGAATCAAAATACTCTATTTTTTAGGTCAAATTGAAGCTAAAACTATGGATGTGTTTATTTTTCATATTTTATGGGAAAATTTATAAATTTATTGATTAGCTTGAGCTTTTTATTTATTTTAAATTTTAAACCTCCGAAATAACTGAAAATCATTAATTAATGAAATATTTTCGGCTCATGTTTTTCATATACTATTAGCTAATTTAAAAAATTCACAGTCAAAATAAGGGACTTTTTGAATTTGTATATTTCGGTTCATAATTACTTATGTTTGTTTATAAGGAAAAAAATTCATTTGTAACTAGTAGTCCAAATATTCAAACGAATTTGGATATGAGATTTTCGTGTGTGACTTCGCGTTGGTCTAGTACTGTACCTTGAAACGTACACTATCGAAGTTCATAGGTTTATGCAGCAGACAAATACTTTTAATATAGTTTGAAAGAAATGTTTCCGGAAAATCCTTAGAACTAATATGAGATTCAATCAAATTCGTTTAGAATTCCGCTTCTTGCTAATAAGAGTCTTTTCGGAATTCAAATTCCAAAAAAGTCGATAAAAAAAAATCCTGTATAATTTTTTTATTTTCGCAAATTGAATATTATTTTCGTTCCTTTCTTATTTCGCAAAAGCAGGCAAAAGGTTAGAGACGTTCGGCCAAATTAAGTAGGAAGTATTAATGGATTACGCAAAAGCCAGTTTCTAATGGCTTAAGACTTTCTAAATCCGGTAGCAATTAAGACCTCATAAATATTTATAAGGAAAGGAGCGTGATGTGTCGGATAAAAAGACTGCTCCATCGTTAGTGTCATCAGAGATCGTTTCGTCGGCTTTAATGTCAGCGTAGTCAAAAGCGAATCAGCGTCAAGTCTTCGTACTTCCAATCTCGCACGAACTAGCTAACTTATGTAAACATTGCACAATCCTAGTGTAAATACTAACAAGTCCCAATCGTGTTAGACTTCTATTGGCTAAAGTTGGAGGGTGTACTTGTTTTGGGATAGATACATTTAAATCGTCTTTGTAAAAATACCCCTAGATCGGAATAGCCTAATTAAAGAAATGAGGGTTGTAACAAGAATACAATTCAGAGTATTAGTATAGGCTATTTATTATTGGTGTAACTAATGCCAAGTTCATAAAATTTAAGAATAATTTAATCGTTAAAATGTGGTATTTTTAATAATGGGCAGTGTTATACTTTTTAAAACTGATCGTGGGATCATGTGCTATATATACCAAAGTAGTCCATACATTTATGAGTTACAATTACCTGATCTAAGATCAGACTCGAATGGGTTGGCATATTTCTGCAAATTGGCAATTTTCCATCTTTCAAAAAGAACTTCCTAATCAAATTTGATTCTATGATTGAACACGATTAAACTTTAAGATAGGATGAATTTATTATTGATATATTGTTATTGACGGGTTTAATCATTTCATCTTTATAAAGTAGGTAACATGTTGAATGTGAGTTAACATATGCTTGAATTGCCTAGTGTCTGGTAGCGACAGTAGCAGTAGTGAGCGGCGAGCCTCCGGTGAGCGGAGGGTACAGCTACTCCAGGCCCGGAGGTCATGGAGGCGGAGGACATGGAGGCAGCTTCGGAGGCGGCAGCTTCGGCGGCGGCACCCTCGTCCCAGTCGCTCCAGGACCCAACACCAACGAAGGCCAATACGTCGACGGCCAGATCCTCGAGGAAGTGAGGAAGATCATTCTTAAGGACGAAGCCGCGTCCTCCTCCCTCCACGGAGGCGGCGGTGGCGGCGGATACGCCCCCAGCTCGTCCTACGGAGTACCATCCTCCTCGTACGGCGTCCCGTCCTCCAGCTACGGAGTGCCCAGCACCCAGTACATCAGCAGGGTAGTTGGAGTCGACCTCGAAGGCGTCAAGCAGGCTCTGCAGGTGGCCCAGTACGAACAGAACTCCGGCGGCGGCGGCGGCGGCTACAGCTACAGCGCCCCCTCCTACACCAGCTACAGCGTCCCGTCCTCCGGCTACGGCGCCCCCTCCCGCCCCTCCGGCTCCTACGGCGTGCCGTACTAAGGCAGCCGGCGCCGCCTCCACCCATCACCATGTACATATCTCGGTCACCGATCGCGCATCACCATCACGGGTCTCGTCTCGGGCTTGCACAAGGACCACAGCTCGCAAATGATTAATATCTGACTGAAGTCTTCATTCGTTAATATATTGTAACTCTCTCACAATGTGTAACCGGGCTGGAATTTGTGCAAGCTTCATTATATATTTTTTTATGTTTGTATAAAGTTTAGTGATATTTTTTTATAAAAAAGAAAAAAAAAAGATAAAAAATAATAAAAATACATTTGCCACCGTGAATTGATTATCTTTTGTTCATCCTATCCTCCTGACAATAACAGACCAATATTATCTTCTACTTTTTCAAAACATTTGTCTGTTAAACACTGAAACTAATTGTTATAAAAATCTATTCATCTTTATAATATAATCATGCGATCATATTTTTCAAATTAAATTTTTAAGATGGTAACATTTTTGTTATAGATCAAGCTCATATTCCTCATATTTAATAAACGTTTTCCTCTTTTACACTCTTTAATAAATTAAAGAAATTCATTTTTTAAAAATGAAATACAGCTAAATATTACTAGAGATGTATATATAGTTGGCTTTTAAAATCATGAGTATGACAAATAATCAGTTTGATCTCTTTATATGGTTTATTAGCCTTACCGACAACCAAGTATTTGTTCGTAGCAATATACAAGTACCAAGTATGTGGCTCGTCATCTGGTCTAAAAATTAAAAAAAAAAAAAATCAGAAAATTAAATTTTAAAAAATTAAAAATTCATTAGAAACATAAAATCTAAAGAAATAAGTACTTTATTTTTCTGATGTAATTTTTAAGTCCTGATGATTAACCCACATCGTTGGGTCGAAACATAAGCAAGCCTAATACACCATATACAGAATGAAATTCTCGTTGTTTGTCTTATTCTAAATAGTAAGAATAGACTGACTATTTATTTTGATCATAAATCAACTAATTTTGATTATCTTAAAATTAATATTTTTTTTTTTAAATATAATTTTATATAAATTCTGAATTTTTATTAGAGGTTACTTATAAGTATCGCCAAAGAGATATACTTACAAGTACCATATTTTGATGATGAACTAAAAATATGCCATACAACGCAACAGTCATCAGATTTGCTGCGTCGGGCCTTAGTTGAGTAAGGTGAAAAGCGTGGATAATGGTTTTGTTGTGTGTATTATGCAAGTTGATATCAGCCCCTCCCCCCTCCATCTCAGCACCTTGCGAATACATAGCAATTCACCTGCAACTTACATAACATTACACAATATCCATCTTCCACCATCCCTTCGGTAAATAATTCATAACTCATGGCTGTTAAACGGTTTTCTCCGTAAATAGTAATCTCATATGACACGTAACCCTCCGTACAAGTCTTAACGACCCCTGTTAATCACCTTTCGTTAATAAATACGCTTTTATGGTCATGGAGTATCTGCGTTGGGAAATTTTGATGACCTCTCCTCTCTTAGCAATTGAATAACGCGTAAAACTTGTGGTTGGAGAAGACATAGATACGTGATAGACGTTATGAAGATTTTTTTTTTTAAAGAAATCGATTTAATGTTGAAACGTATCCGTGATGGCATTGCAATATTGTACTTAGTTGAAGATTCGAAATATTTATCAAATAATATTTTTCTTCCAGAACAGTTCGACTTCTTTCGTAGAAGAACGGCAGATTCCATGAACTGGAGTAAGATAAATCCTATCTAACTTATTTTAAAAACAGTATTATTTTGAAAATTATCGACATACGTTCTGATCAATTTTTAAAACGCGAGGTAGAGGGATAAGATAAATAAAGGAGACAAAGGCTAATCATGGACACTATGATTTCACGTAGTATTAATGTAATGTATGTATATATATATATATATATATATATATATATATATATATATATATATATACATTAAATTTTCTATCTAACTACTCCATTCGCAATATCTTAATTTTACTATTTATTTTCATTTCTTATATAACTTCATATTTCTTTTTTATGTTTCACATTTTATTCTAAGATTCCCATTGTAACATTTATGTCACCCTTTTTGATTATGCCTACTTCATCATTCCACACTTTGTAACGGTTATTATTATTTATCTCTTAGTTCTTACTATTGTCATTATTCTAACAATTTCATTTTACTTTACCTTTTTTTTATTATTATTATTTTTTTTTACCATCACTACGTATGTTTCTCATACCTTGTTATCTGGTTATTTTCTTAGCAATGATGAAGGCCTGAACTTCAGGTCGAAACTTCGGCATATTTAAAAATAAATATTATCATTTATTTTGCCCTTCTTTTTTGACTGACCACCTCAACTATTCTTCTCTTCATTATCCACGACAGTCAACCATTTACCAATTATTAATGTAATCAACTGTTGGAATTGGGAAAAAAAAAGAAATTGGGAGAAAAGCAAAATTTTAAATTTGGAAATTTGACTGCATTAATGACAAACTAGCATCCTTTCCCCGTCATATCCAGCAATTTTTTACTTGCTCTATTGATAATGCCTTGGTGTGAGATAATAATAGAAGAAATGGAATCCACCTTTTTTATATTTATAGCTACTTTGCCGGTATTTCGTGTTCAAACCTAACGGTATGTGCTGGGCAGAATGAGGTACTTCTAGTGAATCATAATACAGCGGAAACATCGGTTATTATAAATTAACATAGTTGTTATAACGTTTCAAACAATCGCAAGCAATTTTGGTTCGTTTCGCAAAACATCCGAAAAACTAGATAGACTCTTATTGTTACAAAGGTTATCAGACTTTTCTCCAACCTATCGCCCCTAAAGTTATTGAGGATTTAACACGCGGGAACGTTGAATTTAGAGTGACAACCATTACATTCTTTTTATTTCATTTTTTTTTTTTTATTTGCATATTAAAATTACTATCGACCCAATTTTTGACTAAATAACATCTCATTTTCTATACTGATCAAATTATAAACATCACGAATTTAACAGCTAAGTTTTAAGAAATAGACAGAAAAAAAATTATTATTACATACCTAACATTATATATATTTACATTTTATTATGATATGTCGTCATGAAATAGGTAATAAATTACACAACATCTGAAAAATGTAATGTTTATAATACAAACTACAAGACATGAATTTTAAATAATATATTTGTATGTACAGCGAATGTTTTTACGAAGTTTATTTCATGTGAAATACTTGTACTTGAAATACTTACTTATATTGCATGAAATAATAATTTTACACGAAACACTTATTATTTAACATACACCTGATATAAATAGAACGTGATTGATTTAGAGCAATATTTTAAAAAATATTTTGTCTTTAGAATAGTTGTTTTAAAGAATTAAAATGAAAATAGAACTGTCTATCACGTTTCGAAATTTGAATAAATACAATATTTTGCTTTTGATAGTTAAAGACAAAAATTGAGCAAGTACATCAGTTGGTAGATTGAAGTTGTCTAGTTCCTGTAGAAGAAAAAATGTAGTCAATTATTGATAATAACAGAGACACATTTAAAAATCTGTTAATAGATTCCGATTTAATCATATCAAGCTCAGGAACTGATTAAATGTACAATATCACCAGAAGCAAAAAGTTTGGGTTCTAAAAGTGAATTAGAAAGTGAGTTGAAAATTCTTTTTATGAAATTTCATATATACACACACACACATATATATATTCACCTAGTTCTGCCATAAATACAGTAACAAAACTTGAACTTTGTTTACATCCTTGGGTTTTATTTAGATAATCCTTACCTCTATCAGGTTACTTACTTTACATATCAGGATAATAATCCCAATTAGTTTGTATTTTCTTTCGTTCAGTTAACATGGAGTGGGGTGATAAAACCGAATAGCTGTTTTCGCCTTACACAAAGTTGGAAAATGTAGGTCAGAGATTTTCAACAAAACCTTTGGGTATCAGCCGTATGTTCGTGTACTGCACTATAAATAGATATAATGAGACCCTATCTGTATTTGACAGACCTCCACCAGACAGCACTGTGAGCACGGCAAATGCAGTGAGAGCAGTGGCTGCTCGAATCAGAAGAAATGCTATTCGAAAAAAACCGAATCATGTGTCGAGAAATGGGAATCTCTGTCAGATCAATATCTCGCATAATAAAAACTGACCTTAGGATGGGTGCATTTCGATGAATGACAACACAAAGACTAACCACTTCCATAAAAAAAATTAGAGTGGATCGACGCAAAGTGCCACTTGGCCGTTACCCCAATGCTCCTCATCGAAAGATTTTGTTTAGCGATAAGAAAATTTTTACAATTGAAGAAAAATTAAATCGCCAAAATGATCGTGTGCACGCACACAACTCTAAAGAAGCCCAAGAAGTCATTGGAAGAGTGGAAACGTTTTCGAAATGTCTTGTGCTCAAATTCAAAATTCTCAAAAGCATAAGCAGACAAAATTTGAGCAATACACTGCAATTTCCGAGTAAGCTAGTGCCGATGTCCGAGAAACCTTAGGCCTGCCGTAGCGTGTGGCGCAGCTCAACTCTGCTAAGGTTACTATATTACTATTATTACTACGGCTTATCAACCTCAGCCGTCAAGGCTTCAACAGTATAGTACAAACAGAGCTGAAACAACGCCAATCCGTTTTATATTGATAGGGTTGGTATGATTGATATGTGTTGGGCACATCATGATCTAAGCAATCCTTGTCAGTCTTGTGACTGAGGTTTTTAAAACAGCAAACCATAGACAAAATTTATTTTTATGTTGAAAGAGTAAATATGTTATTGTGGGGTATGACATGCAATTAGGATTTCCCCTTTTATATTATTCATATCTCTATGTCTATCGAATTGACATTATGATATAGTAGATATAGACAGTGAATGAGTGAGTAGTGACAAGTGATATAAGTATTGTTTGTTATGGTTCAACAATGACATTCCCAACAAGACTGCAAGACCTATGGTGGCATATGCAGACAATGCCTACTC